CCTGCCTGACTTCATCTCAGCCTCGCAGAAGCTGATTCTGGGTGCCGACAGCCCCGCCCTCAAGGAGAAGCGGGTAGGGATGCCCCTTCATCTCGGCCCATGACTCAAGCACTCACAGACCAGCAGATCACCAGCTTGCAAACCATCTCAGGCACTGGCGCCGTGCATCTGGGCGCCCTCTTCCTCTCCAAGTTCTACAACCCCACGACGGAGCGCAAGGTCTACTTCTCCGACCCGACATGGCCCAACCACTTCCAGATCTTCTCCAATGTCGGCCTCTCCTCCCAGACATACCCGTACTTCTCCAAGCAGACCAAGGGCCTCGACTTCGAGGGCATGATCGGCTCCCTACAGAACGCAGCTGAAGGTAGCATCGTCGTGCTCCACGCCTGTGCCCACAACCCCACTGGCGTCGACCCCACACAAGAGCAGTGGAAGGAAATCGCAAAGGTCATCCGGGAGAAGAAGCACTTCCCCTTCTTCGACACAGCCTACCAGGGCTTTGCGTCCGGCGATCTTGCCAAGGATGGCTGGGCAATCAGATACTTCATTGAGCAGGGCTTCGAGACCTGTATCGCTCAGAGCTATGCCAAAAATTTTGGCCTGTATGGCGAGCGTGCTGGCTGCTTCCACTTCATCACATCTCCATCATCCGATGCCGAGTCAACAGTCTCCAGGGTAGCCTCCCAGCTCGCTATTCTCCAGCGCTCTGAGATCTCGAATCCACCTGCGTACGGTGCTCGTATTGCTTCGCTCGTCCTGAATGACAAGGAGCTGTTCGCCGAATGGGAAGCTAACCTGCGTACTATGTCTGGCCGTATCATCGATATGCGCAAGGCGCTTCGCAGCAAGCTCGAGGAGATGGACACTCCCGGAAAGTGGAACCACATCACCGAGCAGATTGGCATGTTCAGCTTCACGGGCTTGACCGAAGAGCAGGTGCTCAAGCTACGAGAGGACTCCCACGTCTACATGACCAAGAACGGTCGTATTTCAATGGCGGGGCTGAACACCAACAATATCGAATACTTTGCAAAGGCCGTCGACAGTGCCGTTAGAGGCACCCAGTAGACAAGTAGACGGCGTTTCCGAGCCTCGGTATTCTTAGGTACTTGCTGTGTAGGACTGGCATGTAAATATCGAACTGCGGAAGATCGGAGATTGTGGTTGGCTGGAGGTCGTGGTCTTCGGGTTGGTTGTTCGGGTACCAAGAAGCGCCACGAACGATCTCTACTGCACGAATCATGATGAATATTTGCAACGAATGGCATGATCACCTCATCTAGGGTCTGAGGCGGATAAACAGAGGCATCTCATGCCCTGTATAGAACTACAATTTTTTCCATTTCGGAGTCGGAGAGCTCCACACTCTATATCTATGATGGCGCATGCTGTGCTGACCCTTGCAGTGCTTATGTGATAAATCGGAGCCTTATTCAACGGTGATTTTGAGGATTTGTTTCACGACGGAGTTTGGGGGAGCTAGGGCTCTGTGACCGTGCGTGGTCCGTAGTTGTTTCGTGATGGTTTTTTCTCCGAGAGAATCGGACGGGAGTGATTAGTGTCGATGAGTGATGACGCCTCGGGGACTAGTAGTGGGGTGTGTAAGCTTGAAGGCGGGTGTGGGTGGCAAGAGGGCTGTTCATTGGGGCTGCGGTGCGCATCGTTTGTGGAAAGGGCTCAAACGGCGATCAGAGGTACCGGCCATAGATGCAACCATCGTGTTCGAGATAAATTTCCTAGCTGCATGTGCATACATGTGTGTGTGTGTGTGTGTGTGTGTGTGTGTGTGTGTGTGTGTCCTGCATGTTCATCTGTTGGATGATAAGGCACGAATATGCACGAGGTCTTGTGATTTGAATAAGTGATCCCAATCGGGGTGTTTGTGGATGTATGTACAGGGAATTATATCGACTGCATATGTATGGAAGGAGAGAGGAAGGCCCTCGAAAGGAAAGCAAGGGTACAAGGTTTCGGGTATATTGCGAGTGTAGGAAGCTTGGAGGCCAGAAAAGCAATGTAATGAATGGATAGGATCATTTGAGTGCGAGCGTGTTGGGGCTGGGGTTGTCGGAGTGAAGAGGAAAATAAATGGCCGTAGACGCATACCATGTCGTCAATTCGATGCCAGTAGCGAGCGCCTGTAGAACTCCCCTGCCTGCCTGGCGTTCCAGTCCGTCCCATTCCAATCCCAATCCGTCTAAAGTTTAAACAAAAGAAATGCGACGAATGAAATATTGAGATTATGATATTAGGCATTTATCATTATATCATCTCACGGACCTCGTATCTCCGCGAACTGAGCCGGGCCTTGATGCTCCAACTCCGCTTGCGGCTCTTCTTCTCGTCTTCGGCGGATTCAGCGCTCAGGCGGGAGATTATGCTGCGGGGTGGCGAGTTCGATAGGCGGAGGTTTGATGGCGGGGTCGAGTGCTCGGTGATCAGCGTGTCGTGGTACTCGGGCGTGGTGTTGCCTTGGAGCGGGAGGCTGATCACGCTGCTGCTGCTCGATTCGATGCGCATCAATGGGCGTGTGGGTGCATATGACGAGAAGGTGTCCATAGATGAGGAGTGCGGTGCCATCATCGAGCGGCTGGAGCTCGGGCGTTGAGTGCTGTTTGGAGGAAAGAGACTGGACGAGGAGAAGGTGAGCTGCGGGAGGGGGGGTGAGGGCGTAGATGCGCGTGCCATGGGTTTTGGAGAGGTGAAGATGGTGGGTGGAGGGGGGGGACTCGGGCTCAATGCGCGTGCCACGGGATTCGGTGTGAAGACTGTGGGTTGGAGAGGTGGAGTCGGGGTGGTTGAGCGCATGACTGATGCGATGTGGGATTGCACTGTCGGCGGTGGTGTAGGTGTTCTTGCTCGTAGAGCTGGGTGGACTGCATTTTGAGGAGGTGTCGTCGGTGTGGTGGATCGCAGGGCTGGGTGGACCTGATCTGAGGGTGTCTGAGGGCGCGCAGATGGGGGAGATGGTGGCGATACTTTCAAGGTTGTTTCTAGACGTGTTGGAGGGTGGTTGGGAGATACGGATCGAGAGCGCGTGCTAGAGACTGCGCTTGGAAGGGGAGGCAGAGGTCGATTGATTGGGGGGAGCGGGGCCATCTTCGCAATGCTAGCCTTGGAGCTCACTACCGTAGCGGGCATAGGGAAGGAATCGGTCAGGTCGGTCAGGTCTTCGTACGAGGCGTGGATGGTGATTTCCTGGGAGCGCTGGGACGAGTCTGAGGCCTGGCGCGAGTGCGACGATTGCGAGGAGATGGTGGAGACTTCGGAGCGGTCGGATGCGGCTTCGCCGTCTGAGGAGGAGCTGTGGCCGTGGCTATCCTCGAGGTTCTCTTCAGGAATGGAGTCGGTGGTTGACTGCTGGGCAGTGGCCTTGGTCGCGAGCGGTCGGATAATGATCCAAGGTGGGCACTCTTTCATGAGGTTCTTGAGAAGAGGAGTCTCCTCTGATGTATCCCAATCCTTCAGTTTCTTCGCAACCCAGGGATTCTGTGTGCAGCGAAGCTTGGAGAAGTAGGCGCTGCAAGCTTGCATGTTAGACATGGGAGCTCCGTGGTCGAGCAGGTCGTTCAATGTGGCCTGGAACTCGTTGTTGAAGTCCTCGAGATTGGCATATTGATCAATGTGCAAGTTGAGGAAGTGGCAGAAGACGTGGTGGTAGTCTTCAAACTTGAAGGTATGATAGCGCTCGTCCAGGGCCTCGACCATTTCTAGTGCGGTCATGGCAGACGGTGGGAGTGGTGGCCCGACTTCGAATAATTCAATCTTGATCTCGTCGGCAACAGACAGGAACAGGTCCAGCTTTACATCGCGGTCCTTCTTCACCCAAGCTCTTCGCTCTTCCAATAGTCCGGGCTGTGGGTTCGAAGACGTGGCGGGCGAGAAGAAGTTTGGTCCTGATTCTGGCATAGGCATCGGTACGCTACCGTCGCAATGGCCCCAAGTTCCTTTCGCTGTAAATACCGCCTTAACTCCACGTCGCCATCTTGCATACTGAGGTCCTGTAGCGTTTGGCGCGAGGATGCTCACGCCCGGCACGCGGGGTGACATGAGGGTGGGCGCCATTTGAGAGCCTGAGTCGAAAGGTGTGGGAAGTGTGAATGTGTGTTACTGGGGAGGCTGGAGATGGAAGTGACTTGAGATTTGAGTTGCGCACACCGAATTACCACAAAGCAGCTGCAAACCGAACATCTAGTACTGAACGGCCCAGGGCACCGAAGTGATTATATGTGTCCGTTCCTTCCTGCGCCTGCAACCATCATCGGACTGGATGCGACAGCTCCGCCGCCTCGGGCTTGCAGCCCTGCACCCCATCCCCCATCCTTCCTACCGATGGATGCTGACCTTTCCGTCAGACGTGCTGCTTGGGCCTGCAAGTGGCCTGCAGTCAGCACACTATCCATATTCTTCGTCGGTGTCTTAATATCGAGGACGTGAGACGAGCGAATAGGGTACTAAGACGGAGTGGCAGGGGTGGCGTCGGGGTACGGCCATGGTGCTTCAGCTCGAAGTCCGAAAACTCGATGTGTGTGTTAGAGAGCCACGAGCAACTGGGATCTACACGATCAACTGTCCAGGGCTGTTCGAGGTGTGTGTGAGCTAGGATCATCGGAGTGATGGAGTGCAACCTCCGGTACGGAAGGCCGCGATCACTGTGCAAGACGAGAATGGCCGTGTGAGATGGACTTCGACGCCTAGCACAGTGCGAGGCACAGGACAAAGCACAGCGGCTGCAGACATGATAACAGAGAGGCAATGACAACAGCGCGTACGAAAGTGGGAAGTGAACAGATTGAAGTGGCCAGGGTATCGTGGAGCCGAATTCGTGAGTAGCGCGGATGTCAGCTGAGCCTCGGTGAATTGCGGGGATGTCCACGGGTATTTTTAGCTCCCAAGCTTGGCCCACGTCGGCAGTTTGAAGAGTCAAAAATTGAATAAATGTGTTGTAATTCTCTTTATATAATATCTAGCACGAAGAAACCAATATATGAAAACAAGGCGCTGTGGCGGAGTGGTTATCGCGCAAGACTAGAAATCTTGTTCCTTCGGGAGCGTGTGTTCAAATCACACCGGCGTCGAAATCCTCGTTTTATTTTTGCATGTCTTTTCGCTCTTAAGCAAGACACATCTTTTTGGATTGCGGCACTGTGTTGTGTTCCGTTGGCTCTAGCTCATTTTTTTAGCCGTGCCAAGACCATATTCCTTGTCTTATGTCATCGTCGGAATTCCAGACTTGTTAACCTCGCCCTCCTACTTGTCTACCCGCATGCCTCCTCGCGCTTTCCCCTTTCCTCTACGTGTAGGAACGGATTTGTGCCATATCCCCCGAATCAGAGCCATATTACAAAAGAAAACTGGCAAGGCAGAGAACAAGACCAAGCCGCTCTCGCGATTTCTTTCCAAGCTCCTGACATGGCCGGAACGTCAGTACTTCTGGGACCGCTTCAAGGACCACGAGTCTGCTTACAAGAACATTGACAATGTTTCCCAGTATCTTGCAGGGCGGTGAGTCCAAGCTCCTCTGTCCATCGAGTCTCAAATGCAGACTTCAGCTACTGACTTCATTGCGCAGGTGGGCAGCAAAGGAAGCTTGCAGGAAAGCATGCCCTCATCTCAACTCGTCGAGTGGACTCCATAATATCATGATCCTCCCCATACACGTTCTGGAAGGCACCGCCCCCGAAGCCTCTGTCCGGCCTCAAGGCCTCGTACTTCGTGAACCGATCCCTCCATATCCAGTTGGTAGTTCTTCTAGCCAGCAGGCCGGCACCGAACGAGCACGCTTCGATATCAATACGGTGCAGGGTCAGTTATGCGAAGTTAGCATCAGCCATGATTGGAATCTTGCTACCGCTGTCGCCATTGTGCCCTCTTACTGAGAGGACTCTTCATTTGAGGATACAGCTATACCTGCGCTTTTAGACCATGCGGACCTACGAGAGCGCGAATATATTAGGAAAGGAAACAAGGATGCGGTATGAGCCTTACGATGAGACGGATTCAAGAACCATGCCGATTATTTTACTCGTCTTAAGCACTCATTTAGATGGGATCTCAACGGTGATTTCAGTATCATACCACGACCATCACACGAAAATCAAGAGAAGTCGCAGTTAATAGCAAGGTCTTGATTCACCTAGAGAAAGAGGTGTGGCCTGTGACCAACGCAGCGAACTGTTGACAGCTAATCCTGGTATCCTGCACAAAGAATGCGGCGTCCAGAAACCCTACCTATCCTAAAATAAGAGGCTAATGAGTCTACCTTGTCGAAATAGAGACTTCCGATTCTACTAGAAACACGCCATCAACATACCTATAGACTTGACTCAATACCCATGCTGCTCCCGATAACCGCCCACGTGCATGCCAAAAGAATAAGCAACTGAAGATGAGGCTGTGTTCGCGTCAATTTAGTGCCGTGCTCTAAGCTCTAGCGTCAACTCCTGCCCCACCAGAGCTGAAAAGGCACGGGACGGAAGGGAAAACGAAACATTTATCACAGAGCTGTCGAATTTACATCTTACAATCTATCTCTATATTAGGAAACGACGCTGTACAACACAAAGCGATATACATTTATTGAGGGGCTCCGTTTCGTCTCCACACGTCTGCCATCCGCTTTGTAGCTCTCAAGCCTCCGGGCCGCAGCCTCATACACCACGCCCAATACGAATGGCTCTTCTTGGCATTATCGCAGATTTCGCTTTCAGCTCTCACGTGAGTGCCACGACGTCCTCGTATTCGCCGACCCATCCACCAAAATACGAAAATCAAAGCCACAATGGCTCCAGCTCCCTCTTAGCTGCCTCCCGCTTCCACACGCCCTCCTTATGATTGGGGGAAAGTGTTGATCGATACCACCCGAGGTACCGAACTGACCGGTAACACAGGGTCTAGAGGTCTGGAGGCTCGTTTTGTTGTAAATAACTGTCCGAGCTTCCCCTCTTCGTTCTTCAGCCCAGCCTGGTCGCTTTCATTCCTCTTTCCTGCCGAAAGTGCTTCAAAGTGACTTCTGCAGCATTATACGCAATGCGCTCATCATTCGTGTTCAGTTCGGCGCTGTTTACAGCGAGCTACGCGCTTGCACCCTCATGTACCCCCTCATCTGCAGACCCCACGATCACATCGGCTCCGGAGGTTAACTTTGAGTTGATGAGAAAGCAGAATGACAATCGATTTATGGGATGGTTGAGCCTCAGTGGTGGAAGTTATTCGTCAAAACAATGCGATGTCGGAGGCACGCTGTATCAGACCGCGAGTCTCTGGCGGTGCTGCGCAACGTCGGTCGCCGCCTGCGACATTCCAATTGGGTGTATATCCGGGAGTCTGATTTACTCATTAGCCTCAACGGGGACGCGACAGTTGGGCACTTTTGGGTGCAATCAAATTTATACAGAGGCGGAAGATCAATCATTCACCATCTGCAACACGGGATTTTTGTACGAGAACACCCAAGACTCGGATCCTCGAACCAACGTCTTCTGCGGTATCAGCTCAGTGAACTGGAGTTATTATAGGGTCAAACCGGATCTATCAACCTCAACCCCAGGTATAGAAAGCCCTTCGATTTTTGACTCACATATACTAATCCATTTTCTTGTAGCATCAACGCCCTCATCTTCTCCCGCAACTACAACTGGATCCACAACCGTCACTCCCACCCCCGCCGACTCCACGATTTTGCCAACTATATCGCCCAATCCCCCGAAAAAGAAGAGCCAGGCTTGGATTGCAGGCGCGGTTGTAGGCCCAATCATTGGTCTCGCGCTGGTCGGAATCCTCGCCTGGTTCTGTCTCGCCAAACGTAGAAAAAACAAGACCGTAGTCCCGCCCCCATCGACTACCGCACCATCCTACCCGGGAAGCCCCAACCAGCAACCCCCACAGCCATACAACAACAACTATCAGCCTCCTATGCAACAGAACCAGCACGGCATGGCTCCCTACGGCGTTGCGCAGCACGAGAGTTGGACTCCTGCTCCTACTCCTGGCTCCCCGCATACACAAGGCTCAGTCTCGCCGCACCCGCCGAATAGTCCGTATGGCGCCCCGGTGCAGCCCCAGCAGTGGCAGCAGCAGCAGCAACTGCATGCGCCCACAAGCCCTGCCCCCGGATACGTGGATGAACATGGCGCAGTGAAGCAGCCTCATGAGAGGCCTTTCTCCTCTGAGTTGGATGGCACGTCGTATCAGCAGCCTGCTAGGTGATTGGTAAAGTTAGGGGCGGAGAGCAAGAATGCTGATGACTGTAGCGGATGTCTGTTCTCGTCAGTAAGAGGAGGTACTGAAGACGATCTCGTTAGAGAGGATGTTTCGTCAGGATGATTTGCCTTGGAGGAGATCCCTGAGTGCGAAGACTTCGGGAGATGAGATGAGATGGGATGGGATCCTTTACGATTAGTCTGCGTCAGGCGCTGGATATTTCTAAGTAGTGTTAATTTTTATACCCCTTATAAGCTTAATGCCATACCCACCATTAAATGGGATTGACACATGCTTTGACAATATCTCGCATGCGCTAATTTAACCCTCATCAACCCAGTCTCTACTTCTTATGAAATCATTCTTCAATTGAATTCTCTGCAAGTTGCTGTTCGATTGAGCAAATCGCAGTACTTCGTTTATCCTATCGAGTTGATACCCCCCTTCGACCATGCTTAATAGAGACTTGAAGGCATAATTCTACAAGTCAACAGAATTGGCAGTCGCGAACTGATCGAGCTCCTATCGGAACGAAGAGTGGGGAGAAGTGCATAAGACGAAGCCTACTCACGCTGTGCAATTAGTGACAGAAATCTTCCTCTCCCATAATCTCCATCGTCGGCCAAGTCTCTAATAAGTGGAATGGGCGCGGGATTTCATGGCTTTAGTAGTATGGCGTTCGGTTCCTACCGCTGCGGTTCCTGAACGAAGCCATCGAAGGGGCCTTGTAGATGCAGGGAGGAGTCACACATGGCTTTCTCAAGTATGCTTGACTTCCTCATCCGTGTTCTTCGCCTGGCAGTCAATGCTCTCCTCGTGGTCTGTCCGGCCGCTGAGACCATTGTAGTCCTTTTCTTCAGCCGCATCATTCATCTCCTGCGCATCGGCATTGTTCTCGCTTTCGCCATCTTGCTTGCTCGCAAGCCTAGTCGCTACCTCCTCATGATCATCTCGACCCTCTGAATCATCACCCCTAGATCTTAGACTAAGATCTACGTCACCGCTAATGTCTCGATTTCGACTCAGCGTCCGGCGCTCGACTTGTAGGATTAAGAGTTCGGACCCTGCTTTTTGGGAACGGACTAAGAGGTTAGTCGCCGTAGTGCGGGTGTGAATCGTCCCACGTTGAACCAGGTCCTGAGTTTTCCCTTCAATAGCAGCATGCGTACGCCCTAGCTCGGTTCATGTAGGTCTCTCTATAGTGATTTCGTTTTGATTGATATATTCTTCGATGACGTCTTCGTAGTCTGTGATTGAGGTTTTTGAAATATCTAAGGTGATATCCGAAAATTTTTGGATTGGTGGATCCTGATGCTGCCTCCTTCATCTTAGTTTCCTTGGAGAGTATATCAGCATGATCGGCGGTGCTATGAAAGCGCTCCTTTGGCACGTTGTGTTTCTCAGCCTGTACATCGTTGTCCTTTTCCTATTAGCTTTCTTACTACTCTTGCTAGGCCGGAGTCTCGCATTGGATTTTTAATTGTATCTGGGCTGGTATCTCAGCTTCATAATCTTTTTCTGTTAGCTCGGATGACGCGGATTTAGAGCTCGCTGACGAAGTGTCAACGCCCAGGCTCTTGCCATCAATTTTGATGGTGGACTGGTCTTGGACAATCAGGGCGTGAGATGAAAAAAATAGAGGTAGGACAAAAGCCGGAGTAGGAGTTTCGGAGGTAGTAACAGCAACCAATTACGAGAGGTCTTCAATCTGATCAGCCTTCAGGATGAGTTTTTCTGGCCGCGAAATTGCATTGATTGATTTGAATATCGTTCTTTTCACCACTTTCAACCTTTTCACCATACGTTGTACGAGAAAACAAAACTCTGGAGCATTGTCTAGTTGTATCCCTCTCCGAATTACATTGTCTGGTTTGAG